TCTTGAGAAATGTTTCTCCAAATGCAGATCTAAAACATTAACTAGGGTGTCAACATATGAAATGTTTTCAATTCCTTTTCCTGAAAAAGTTTAATACCAGACTCTTCATTTAGCAATAACCAGAATGTAAATCCATCTCAATTCTTTTATCAAAATTTTATATAAAAACACATTTGGATCAAAATATGTTGAGCTGCAAAGTTTGATGCATAGTGGCTGCTGCCTAACTAACATGAAGAAGAGAAGTTCTGTTACTGCAATCTCAAATGAAACAGAAATAATGTTGTTAATCTTCAGTATAAATATAAGTTAACAACGAAACTTTGGCGAAACTTATTTGGCAGCAGGTATTAATAGAAAATGGCAAATTGAATGAATATGAAAAACCTATCATCAATAATGCCCAAAGCTATTTATATAAATATAAATATATAAATGCCCATTTACTATTGACATTTGAGAAGTTGCCTGGTTTTTCTGTCTTGTCCTGTATTCTGCAAACTCATCCACTTGGCTATCAAGATGTTCAGATGAACAAAGTATCATAGAAAAGAAGTTACTTTTCAGGCTATAAATATTCTAATAAAGCGCTTACACTAATGCAGAACTTGTCACAGTTGGACTATACCAATAGAAAATTATTATATGGAACAATGAATTTTGTTATACACTCTGACAAGCAGATGGTAGCATCCAGGTGTAAAGAATGTCAGGCAAATGTTACAAGGGCTGCCACTTGAACTAGTATAATTATGGCAGCTCTACTACTGGGTAAAATTTTAAGAATTTACAGAAACAGAGGGGCCACAAAACTTAGAAGCTGCAGTTATTGCATCAGATGACAAAATGTGTAGGATTGGCCCTAATACTACATGCCCAAATGTATTACTTTGATTATGAAAATATTATTAAGGCTATTTTTTTAACAGACCAAATTTAATACTTGTAGGAATGGCAGGCAACCCATTGAACCTGAATTCTGAGGATCACTCATCTTGAAAATAAAAAGTATTATTTAATATTTCTTAAAAATGAGTCAGTGATTTGGAAGCTCCTTGGAAGAAGAACTTATGAATGTGACTTAATTGATCCTATAAATAAGCCTCTGTCTTGAAAACGAAGGTAAAAATATATTCATGAGTATCCCTTGGCGAAAATTGACAATTTTTGGTGGTACATGGATACCGAGTTTGTGCAATTCTTTGACTTGTTATTTTGGTTTGTGCAAAAATCACCGCAACACAAAGCCAAAATAACAAGACAAAGAATTGCACAAACTTGGTATCCATGCACACAACGACCTATTCTCACTTTAAAAAACATCAGAAAATTGCAATAACTTGGCATTGCTCACTCCCTTGACTTTATCCATGGACACATCAACCTATTTTAACTTTAAAAAACATCAGAGAATTGCACAAACTAGGCATCATGCACTCCCTTAACTTTGTCATCATTGCACACATTGAACTATATTCACTTAAAAAGTCAAAGGAGCAGCCAATGAAAAAATATATAATTTCAATAAACTACATTTTAAGTCAAACAATTAAATAACATAAAAAAGGAAATGCATCTTTGCACTACACAAAGGAAATATCCACTTACCTTATTAACATATCTTCAGTCAAACAAAATTCCTTAACAGCATCCAAAAACTTCCTAAAATTATCTGAACTAGAATCTGTATACTGGCATCGCCACATAAATTCACAAAATAAGAATAAAAATATCCTCCGTACAGCCGTTTATCGTCCGACATTCAATCATATGCATTTCCTTCCTACAAACAAAACACTTAATAATGGCTACTATGTAAACCTTTATTTACACATCAGTCAAGTAATGCTCTTTTTCCCTTTCTTTCCAAATCATACAGAAACTTCAAATTAAGCTTACCACATTCAGCCATTTTACTGTCTAAACCACAAAACAAGCAATATATTTCCTAACCAACACACACACAAGTCCTTACAAATTTATCGCAATCATACAATCGACTACATCATAACAGGTTTTCCATAACATTCAACTACTCAGGCTACCATAAATGAAACAACAACTTGGCCATAATACAAGGGGGGGAGGGTAGACTTTAAGGTACCCCTTGTATTATGGCGAAGTTGTTGTTTGATTTATAGACAAGGTGTTTCATTTATAGTAGCCTGAGTATTTGAATGTCATGGAAAACCTATTGTGATGTAATCGTGTGCATGATTCTGGGAAATTTTGAATCAATGGGATGTTTTGTAACTGCATTTTTGTGTTGTGTGTTAGTTTTGTTTGATGTCTGTTTAGACAGTAGAATGGCCTGAATTGTAGTAAGATTAATTTGAAGTTTCTGTACAATTTGGAGCAAAAGGGGAAAAGAGAAGCTTTAATTGACTGGTGTGTAAATGAAGGTTTACTTAGTAGTCATTATAAGTGCCCTGTATGTAGGAAGGAATATGCGTCTAGGTTCGAACGTAAAAAACCTGTTCAGATGGATGGATTTGAATTGGGTTTGTAGGAAGAAAGGTTCAGATGGTCACTATGTGTGAAGCGTTCGATCAGAAAGAGTACCTGGTTTGAAAAAAGTCATTTGAGTATGATTGATATTTTGATTTTTACATGGCTCTGGGTGTACGAAGCGAACTCTAAAATCATGGTAAGTGAATACTTGCTTTTGGTAGTGCTTAAATGTATAACGTTTTTCCTTGTTTATGTTATTTTATTGTTTGGTTTAAAATGTATTTTATTGAGATTATGTATTTTTTGTTTGCCAGTATTGTAGAATTTGGTGCTTTTTGACTTTGGTGAATTTGACTTTTTAAGTGAAAATATATCGATGTGTACATGGACAAAGTAAAGGGAGTTGAAGTTTGTGCAATTCTGGGATTTTTTTTAAGTAAAAATAGGTCAACGTGTACATGGATAAAGTTAAAAGAGCGAATGATGCCATTTTTGTGCAATTCAGGGATTTTTTTTTAAGTGAAAATAGGTCGACGTGTACATGGATACCGAGTTTGTGCAATTGTTTGTCTTGTTATTTTGTCTTTGCGTAGAGGCGAATTTTGACAAAAATCGCCGCTTCTCAAGCCAAAATAACGAGTCAAAGAATTGCACAAAATCGGTATCCATGTACCACCAAAAATCGCCAAGGGGTACCCTAAAATATACTTTTACCACAAGGGGTACCCTTCTCTCTACTCTAACCAAAACAAATTATCCTATGTAACTTGAACACTAATACATTTTGCATCAGCATGAATTCAGATGTTTATCAATAATATAAATGCTCCTATTAATAAATCAAGATCTGTTAATGCATGGTTCAATGAAAAGCACGAAAGAACTTAATCTTCTCAGAATTTCTATTGTCTTAGCTTACCAACATTTGAGGAATGAGTTCGGCCATTATATATCTGACCCCCTTAGAAGCTCTGAAAAAAGAATGGCAAACTTTTAGTTTAATTCTCCAGAATTTTGTAGAATGTTCTCCTTATTATGCGATTTCAAAGTAGCCCCAAACTGACTTAAGTTCACTTCACTTTGAATGATTCAGATTACTGAACTATTTGTAATTCAATTCTGATGTGAAATATATTAATATTTAATTAGGTATTCTAAATTTCATGCTCTTTGGCTAATTTTATTACACTTAGAAAATCCCAAACAGAGATGAGAAGCTTTTATTTAGTACTTTTATATTATCAAAGTACTTTAAATAGGATGAAAATAAAGTTAATAATTAGTGTAAATAATATTTATCTAGATAAATTTAGTAACATATCGTAAAATGAATGGTTGAATCTTCGTACTATAAAAATCTACAAACTAAAATGTAAAAAGAGAAAAATACAGTTCAGATGAAATAAATTTAACAAGAAAAATTACTCTAAAAATTATTAGAATTGAAGGAACAGAATTTGCATAATTTAAGTTCCATTCTTTGCTGGAAAATATTTTCCTTAATAAAGACATGATGAAAATCGGGAGAGCTGGTGAAACAGCTTGCTGAAACAGCAAAAGATAGTGTCATATAATATTCAAGTATGTACATTTTTCATTAAATTTTTGTTACCTAGTTTTTCAAAACTTCTGTTAAGTGTAAGCTTTAAACCAAACGTGAGAAAAAGTACATAGCTTACTGAAATTCTATATTGAAAAGAAAATATTATTTTAATGAAGAATCAGAGCTGGGACAAGGGTGCAGCAAATAAGATATGTTTCAGATGAACTACTAGATAGAACATCACAGTGGATATAAATTTAGAAATTCATTAAAAAAATTATGACTGTTAACTTTACACAAATGAAGCATAATCTTAAAATGTCATATTTAAGTTAATTTATACCAAGTAATAAAACTATGTTTTCATTGTCTAGGATAATTTAAATGTGTTATATTCCTGATATTGCTATTTTTCTTAGTGGATGGATGTCTGGTCCTTCATAGGCATCTTTTCAACCAAAGTGGAATCTCTCAATTTATGTTATAGCATAGTGTAAATGAAATAAGCAGCAAAAATATTTAAATAGAAGTTAACTAATTAATTTTATTACTTTCTTGCTATCTTTGTTTAATGCACTTTTTTTATCATATAGTTGCCATTAAATAAAAAAATGACTTAAAAATTTTTTTTTATAATACTGCTGAATTAAGAGAATTAATGACAATTTATTCGCTAAAAGTGCTACAGTTTCACAATACTAAACTGCATCAAATTAAACTAAAAAGACTGAATTAAAAACAGGAATAGCTAAAATTTCCAGTCATAATGAATCTGCAACCACTGAAACTCAGTTTATTAATCTAAACTAAGATTTTACAAAGAATATTTTAAATGTATTTCACCATACAGCAAACATAATATTTAGTCTACTAAATTCATATACACGCATGTACTGTTTATATGACTCAATATATATAAAGTAAGAAATTTAGGACCAACTTTTCACAAAGACCAACAAATTGAAATTCAAATAAATAAATTTAAAAAAATCAAATAAATGCAGAATTAGCATTCTGAAAATACTACCTTTATTACTCAAATTATCATATACATATATTTTTTCTTCATTATTCAAAACATGAAACTTTCAAAAATAAAACAATCTACAGTTTTGAGCACATCATAAGAATATAATGAAATTACTCAAAATATGACAATATACATATATTTTTTCTTTATTATTCAAAACATGAAACTTTCAAAAATAAAACAATCTACAGTTTTCAGCACATAAGAAAATAATGAAATTATTCAAAATATGAAAAAGCAACCTACAGTTTTGAGTTCATGATAATGAAATATATAAATCAACTCTTAAAATTGTCTTTCAGATCACGAAGTACTCTCATAACATCAACAGGATCTGTCTTCTTTGTGTATATGTGTAACTGCTCTTGGTCTACACGTAAAAACGGGTTATAGGACAATTCTTCACCTATTGTTGATGGCACTGACGGTTCATATTTGGCAAGTTTTTCTTCTACTGTTTTCATTTTATTAACTGTTGCTGTATTATCTGGCTCAACTGCTAGAGAAAATTTTAAATTACTTAAAGTATATTCATGTCCACAATATACTCTGGTACATTTAGGTAAAGCAGCTAATAATTGCAGAGAATGCAACATTTGACTAGCAGAACCTTCAAAAAACCTACCACAACCGGCTATAAATAATGTGTCACCAGTAAAACATATCGGTTCATTATCCAAATCAATAAAATAGCATACATGTCCACTGGTGTGACATGGTGTTAATAAACATTTGATTAATATAGGTCCTATCTTAAATTCTTCATTATGGGATAATTTTTTTGTTAATGAATCAATTCTATCATCCCCACCATAAATTGGAATATCTGGCAGCACATCATGAATCACTTTGTTTCCTCCAGCATGATCAAAATGATGATGAGTTGTAAGTACTGCTTTTAATTCAACATTTTCTTCTTTAATCGTATTTAAGATTTTTGCTGGTTCAACAGGATCAACCGCGGCAGCAATTTTTAAATCTTTATCCATTAAAATGTACATATAATTATCTTTCAAAGCATTTAGTACACGAACTTCACATCGCTCATTTACAGGACTTGTAGCTGAAATGTTATAATATCGTACAAATAGCTTTTTGGGGGAAATATTTGTAGAGAACCGTCTAAAAGCATAAGCAAAATTCATTGTTACTAGTTTCAATAATTAACTGGCATTTATTATCACTCAAGTATATTACCGTAAATGACTTCAACAACTAGATTCTGCCACTTCCAACAGTTATTAAAAGTACAACTAAATCTACCACTTTCGAAATTTAAATCTGAATAAATATGCCGTTTCCTAAATGATGAATGTTCTTTTCGTCAATGAACAATGATTATTTTTCATTCCCTTGAAATTTTCAAATACTGGATCCACGGCTTACAAAGTTTAATGGCTTTTACCCTGATATATAATATAGCATTACAGTTTTTTTTTTTTAATTATGCTTCCTGGAATAATGCTATAAACGCAGACACCAATCTTCTTCAACCAGAAAAATTTGTTTATGATTCACATACTTCATCAAGAGCAACCGCCAGCATTACAAACAGGATCGCTCTTCCCAGGTATCTCGTAATTTGCGGCCAAAGCTTGTTTACGCCTGCCAAAACCAAACTGATACGTTATTTGGTTTGCCTTCTACGTCTTTCTGCCCGCAGGCAAGGTAAGAAATTAGGCTTGCGGGGGGGAGTGAAATCGCCAGTAAAGAATGAAGAGAACAAGCCTTGGTAGCACCTAATACCTGGAATTACATTCTAATTAAATATGTTCTACCTTTATGATTGCGCTCTTTGCTACACCGCTTTAAAAAACAAACAGCAACGGCGACGATGTTTGCCTCTCTGCTACTGAGCAAAATCCCTAATCAGGGGAAAATGTATCACAGCTGTTGCCTTTGGCCAATGCTATTCCCACCACCATTAACCACGCATGCGCATTGAGTTGTTGGATCCGTAACGGATTCCACACGCCCGACTCTTTTATTTTTTTTAAAGGCGGGTTTCTACCTTGGTGTAGTTTATCATTTTTTAAGCGTTGGCGACTTTCAAAAGTTTAGAAAGGAAAATGAGATCCTTTTCTTTCAAAAAGAAGAAACATTTCTTTTTATTAAAGTACATATAAAAAAGAGTAGATTTTTATGTTCGCAAAGTTTATCGTTGTCCTTAGTTTAAATGATTGATCAGTGGAAGGTGGGATCTTATTTACATTTTTTGTACTTCTTAGAATACATTTAGATTCAAAGATGTGTTTTGCGCATTCAAGACTTTAATTCATTCTTCTTTGAAATTTTTCGTCCGAGAAAAGATAATAAAAATTAGACAGAGGATTTCTGTGTAGAAAATTTAGACATGAAATGACTTAAAAGCGATTAAATCAACTATTAAATGAATCATATAATACTGGTTATGACAATTCTGTAACTGCTTATTTTTTTTTTTTTATATATAGAAATACTTGGGCATTTTCAGGGACACAAAAAATACTGCAAAGAACTTTGAAAAATATTAGTACAAAACACATTAATAAATTAAATTGAAATAAATAATGAGAGGTAATTTAAAAGACAGAAAATATTAATGTAAGAGTTTTAGATTTAAAAATTTGCACACACAAATGATTTATCAGATTTATAAGGTTTTATTTCATACATAACTTTGATTTTGAATATGGCATTTTAACTTATAAACATGAGTGGATACTGAAAAGTGATGAATATTTAAGAATATTATAATTTTCACTAAGTTTTCTTATTGAATAATAATTCTGACAGTCCAATGCTATAAGGCTAGGGTCTAAGTTTGCATAAAAATTTCTCTCTTAAATAAAAGAATTTAAGTAATTTCTGTAGCCTTTTTGTCAATACATTAAAGATTTTTTTAACTAATTACACATCCTCTCTTGCAATTAAAACAATCATTAAATTCCTATTTTATCTAAACATTTCCTGAACATTATCATGTAAATAGATTGACTTCGTCTTTGTAGCCAACAATTATTATTGGTAAATTATTCTCTTGCTGGTGAACAATTAACAACCTTTCTATTGCTGAGCTAGGATTAACAATCTTCGCTCTCGCTACCGCCTACCTTACGGAAATCGGGTAAAATGCTGGTACCTGGGCTGATTGTGCGCATGCGCGAACGTAGGTGGTGTGAATCACACCGTCGGTGCGATTAGTCACTGCGGTTGCCTTAAGCTCCTATCCTCTAGTAGCTCTAGTTGCCTTGGAGGAGGATCCTTTGAGAAAGTACGTTATCCGATAATACCGATTCGATTGTCTGGATCAAGGTAGAGCTACTAGAGATATAGGCCCCTTTCAATTAGTTTTAGATCAAGGAGGTTTGAATAGAATTCTACCCTCCTTGGTCTGGATTACCATAATAATCTGTTTCCCCCCTCGCTGTCAAGGCTTCAAACAAAACCCATTCTTTCAAAAAAAAAATTTTTAACTAACAGGTAAAAAAATATATATTAGCCATATTAAATACGTTTAGAATAACTAATTAAACTGAAAATAAAGGAAACTTGGAAGCGCGGGAAGAGTGCAGCCACTTAATCATTTGCTCGCAGCACTCCTACGTTCAAAGCCATTAAGTTAGATCCTTCTGTAGTTTTAAATTTAGGGTAATAGTACTTCTCTGTTGAAGTTAGTCAGGAAAGGGCAGAGTGCTATTTTAAAATGAAACTAATTGCTACATATGAAAGTGTTTTCTAGATTCTCTACATATATTACAGTACTTGTCAAGCGTAAATAAGAACAGCAGCATGATAACGCCAGGCGTCACTCTGCTTTCATTATTCGGGAAATCACCACTCAACTTTATAATTGGTATGTTATTCCGTGGTATCTTTCTCAAGAACTTTTAATGGGAATCATTCAAATTCTTTCTTTTACCTTTGGATAATCATTTTATTCGATCTTTATAGAATTCCTTGGCCTATCAAATCTTGGATAACATATAAAATATGAATACAAAATACTAGATTTTCCTCAAATACTAAACTACAGGATTTTTATTGACGAGAGATTAGTCTGCTACAAAACATACAGTAAGCTGTCATTCCTAAGTGCTGTTAAATCATTTCAGATTCGAACCTACACGAGCATGACTGGTTGCATGATTTACTTCCTTATGTGTAACGTAATGTCCCACGAATAACGTTAATTTCCCTTGGAAGGTCCTTCACGAAGACATCTCTCCCGTTAGGCTCTAAGGGAGCTCTGTCATATTCAAATAAATAATATAATAAAGTTAACAGGTTAAAGCAAATTTTTTTTTAGATAAACTTTAAATTAGGGAGGACGTTAAAACTGATGGAGAGGGTTAGTGGTTGGTATATAATATTCTCAACAAATAAACAAATTTCAAATTGTTTGAAACGCACAGATGTTGCAAAAAATGTCGGCTGAAAATCAACTAAGCTTGATCGCACTCGTATTGACAAAGCTCACACGCTTTTTCTCCAAATTTATGTCTACACAATTCTTTTCAGCTCTCATTTACAAAGTAAAAATAGAATTAATGATATAAGCGGTATTCTTTGCCAGTGTACCGAAACGGGCCAACAAGGTGTGTCTGGCGTTCTTTCAAAGCCTACAAGACAAAATCAGGTACGATTCGCCACTTCACCAAGTATGATCACAAAGATATATTTTATCCAATCAGAGCTGTGATGGAAAAGTCTTTATGCTTTGTGATTATGCAGGTCGGACTCGTAGACACAAACCTTGTTCATCGATTCTTCGCATGTTTCTCTGAAAATATTGATCGTACGGGTCTGTTCTTGTTTCGAATTGCAGTGTGGGGTTTCTATTCCCTAATGTTTTTTTATTTTATCTGAAAAATCTTTATTGAGCTTAATGCATAATTTCAGTACAACGATAATGTGTTCTGAATATGACTTTGATTTCCAGTTTTACGCACCGAAAAATATATTAAATTAGATTTTTATTTCTTTTTAAAAACTGTTAATGAATGTGTCTCATACATGTCAATTTTGCGAATGCAAATCGGCGGACAATCAGTTTGGGTCTGCCGAGGCTCCTCTTCTTCATACAACTTACTCTCTGTCAAAGTAGGTAACACTTTTATACTTCTAATGGAACAAAGCAGATCTGCTCGTTAATATCTTAATTATTCTGGAATATGAAATGAGAGTTATTAAATCCTGTTGTTCTTTATACTAACATGCGGGGAAAGAGGTTTTTAGAAATGCTTTGTTGTATTTAATTTTAAAAATCTTCGTTGGTTCTTTCTACATTGCACAGTTTATGATTAAATAATATAGACTGTTCATGTTGCTTTTCTATATGCCTGTATGAATGTTTATTTCATAATTTAACGAACAAATTTTTTTACTACAACTATATATTGACCTAATGATTACTGATAATTTAATCCCACTGCGATTATCGATGAAACAGTCTGTACGGATTTCTCGTGTATTTTGCAAAGTTTGGATAAAGATATTTCTCCTTAGGCACATAGCCTGTTCCTTAATCAGTTAAGAGCATATAAACAATGTATGTAAGTTAAATGTAGTGCAGAAATCTTCTGGTTTCGTATTAAATTTATGTATATGGTATGAAAGGAATTTGTGTGACAAGTTAATATTTTTTAATATTAGAAAATATTTTCTAATATGACATTCACAAGTATTGCTGTGTTTTTAAGCAGAAGAAAAAATATTATTCTGAATGTCTCAACTCACAAAAGTGTTTGTTTCAGAGATTAAGTCACTGGCTATTGTGCAACAATTTTTGCCATTTTATAAACTTGAAAGATTCACCTTTTCTGTTGTTTACTCAAAGAAATGTAAAGTTTACCGTAAAATAATCATTACTAGTTAGGAAGACTGCTAAACTATGACATGGATGCATTATTTGCAGTTGAATGAAAAATGAGGAGGTTTGTGTTTAGAATTTTGTAATGCATGATGGCAAAAAATTTAAAACGATTTAATATTAAACATTTATTTACTAAGAGAGTCTAGTAAATGGCATTTTTTAATATTATGAATAATATTACATTATTTTGTCAATAAACGTTACTATACAATTGTTACTGAATATATTTTTCTGAATGACTTTTATACAAGTCCCTTTTTTGGGTAAAGTGCAGACTTTTATTTGTTTGGCGCTTTTTACAAGAGTAAAAAGAATTGGATTTTTATCAATTTTCTTTGACTTTTTAAGTGAAAATAGGTCGATATGTACATGGATAAATTCAAAGGAGTGTGCAGTGCCATTTTTGTGCATTTCTGGGATTTTTTTTTAAGTGAAAATAGGTCGATGTGTACATGGATATTGAGTATGTGCAATTCTTGAAAACACACCAAGCAGTGGGTGATTCTGCACTTCCCCCCTTTTTTTATAAAATATGTTAAAATATGCAAGGTTACCTGTAAGGCTGTCTTGCATTTTGGCCAATATTGTATTTTTGTAAGATTGCTGGTTCATAATCTGAAATTTAAATACTGCAGATTTTAGAAAATTTTGTAATGCATTGCAGTAACTTTTATATTAATAATTTCTTTCAATACAGGGTGTTTCATAGATCATGGGACAAACTTGGAGGGGTGGTGGAGTGTACTAAAACATGCATTGTTTTATAGGAATGTAGGGTCTAAAGTGACGGGTTAAGGCAGAAATGCAAAAAGCGGCACGAGAGGAAAATGTGTTAATGTACAAAATCAATGCAAAATGCTTCTTTGTAGC